AGCATATACACAATCATATTTATCAAACTCATTTAGTAGTATGTCACACTGTTCTTTTGACCATGACATCTTTTAGCTTGTTCAATCTACAAGTAGAACAGCATACAGCATAAGCCGGCAAGTTTCGAGAAACTGATGAACACAATCGATCACAACAACTGATGAAAGTGCTTGATACTATACTATTCGTCATTGTTTGTCAGAGCGGTCCAGTGGACCTTTGCTCTCAGTTAAAAGTCTCGTCGGTCTGTTAGTCTGTCAGGTCTGGCTACCCAGATACCAAACATGTTTAAACCTTTCGCAACGGAGGATCTTTTTACGAAATCTGTCTGTCCTTACGGGGAAAACGCCGCTTGCTGATTTATCCGCTTGCCGTTCCAAATCAATATTTTATGATGCGCTGATCTATCCGCTTCCTGTTAGGAATGACTATACGTCTTTGTATTTTTTATTATATTCTTTAGTGAAATAGCGATAATTAAAAAAAACAATCTAATTTCCAAAGACATTTTCATACAAAAATGTTATTCAAAAATACAAACACATACATATATTTATGTATACGTAAATAACAAAAACATAATGTAAGTAACAAAATCTGATTATACAAATGCAAATCGAATGTTTAAAATTTTTACAGTGTTGCACTTCGTCGCCGGGTTAGACATTGCAAATTTTGCTGATGGTAAGTAGGTATGTAAAAATTCCTGACTTAAAATTCTCCACGCGAGACTTTGGGAACATGGTAACTGGGCTACAATCCGCCTACTGCTTGTACTAGGATCATCCAACGCCAAATTAATGACTTCCAGTTCCTCTTGGACAGTATGCAGGACACCATGGCCTCTGGCTTCGGGAAGTTTGGTCTTAGAAATGAACGCGTAAAAACCTTTGGGGTAGGTTGGCGTCTGTTAGGAAATCTACGTTGATACTCCCGAAAAGCCGCTAAAGCATTTCCATCACAGAACCCGTACACAAAAATAATATCGATGTACTCATCATTGGTAAATTCCATTTCACAACACTCAAAAATAGAAAAAAGGAACTTTTGACTAGACTTTCACAAAAAAATTGTAGTAGTAACGATAACAAGCATATAACACATAAATATGACAAACAATCTCCCAAGAAACGTCAAGTTGGTATCAAGGCCTCCTATTTTATTTTGAAATTAATTGTATCTCAGCTCTTCATGAATGATCTAATTTGTTTTATTTTTATTTTTATGAAAAAACGCAAAAGTAATTATGTGTAGCAAATTGGAGGTAAAATCTTTATTTGGAAAAATAATACTACTGATCCCCTGTATCTCCGCCAGTGGTGCACGTTAGGTAAATCCACATACCAACTTTTAGTTCATTCCAGTTGACGGTTTTGAAGATATTAAAAAAATTGTTTTTTATTTTTAAACTTCAACACCCCGTGTCTTTTTAATGAAGCTCTTGAGGAAAAAATGGTACATACAAGACCCCCCTTTTTTTTATATCGAAACAGCCGCGCAGGCAGAAGCCTAAATGCCGGAACACCGCGGCTGCTATGATGATCCCAAAGAAATTTTGTTAATACGATTTTTGAACTGCCTAAGGTTAGTAGAACTGGGAAAAGCTTCCTCCCGTAGGTTGTTCCACAATCTAGACACCCTCGGGACAAAGGGTCGGTCGTATCGGCCAGTTCTGGATGTACGAAGTTTGACACGGTTAGGATGGGACGCCGAAGTCAGGCGGGTCTGACTGGCAGGCACATCGCGCGGCGGCATCATGGAAGAGAGTTCTGAGGAGCAAAGCCCGTTGGTGTAGCTATAGAAAAGAGCCAGATCGCCGACGGCCCGCCGGTGCGAAAGAGTCCCGAGACTGTCTGTTAGGGAAGAGTCATCGATCAGTCGGACCGCCCTCCTCTGGACAGCATCGAGCATGGACAATGCAGTCGGGGCGGCAGCACCCCAAATGTGTGAGCAATACTCGAGGCTAGGCCTTATCTGGGCCTTGTATAGAGTGAGAAGGTCATGCGGAGAAAAGTACTTCTTAGCCCTAAACAAATAGCCTAGCTTTTTCCCAGCAGCTGCAGCTATTGAAGAGATGTGTTCGCGCCAGATCAGGTCCTCGGTGATCTGGACTCCGACCAGCCGAAATGAATGGCTCTTTGGTAGAACTCGACCGTCCATCGAAACTGTATGAGCGCTAGGACGCTTTTTGTTCGTCAAAGTACAGTACTGTGTTTTGGAAGCATTGAACTGTACAAGATTGTTGCGTCCCCAAGCAGTGATAGCCTCCAGGTCTCTTGTCAGAGAAGAAGTCGTCGCTAGTCTTCCTTCGTCCAGCTCAGCGGCAGAGATCGGCTTGTCACTCTGAATTCCTGCATGTAGAGTGCTGTCATCAAGGAGGTCGTTGATATGTAAGAGAAACAGTGTTGGAGCCAAGACCGATCCCTGGGGAACACCCGCTTTGACGTTGTGGGATGAAGAGGAGAATCCGTCAATTACGACGGATATCTTGCGGCCAGAGATAAAGTCAGCCACCCATCTGCAAAGCTTTTCTGGGAGGCCGTAGGATGGAAGTTTGCTTAAGAGGGCAGCGTGCCATAGCTGTTCGAACGCTTTCGTGATGTCAAGAGCAACGACATGAGCCTCACCATGAGACTGGATGAGTTTACTCCACAGTTGCGTGACGTAAGCTAGGAGGTCCCCTGTGGATCGTTGGTGCCGGAAACCGTACTGCCTGTCGCTAATCAAGCTGTGACGTTCAAGGTAGTCCAGAAGCTCGCGATTTATGCACCTCTCCATCACTTTACTTATAACAGAAAGCAGAGCTATAGGCCTGTAGTTGTAAGGGTCGGTTTTAGATCCTTTTTTTGGGATTGGCTGTACATGAGCAAATTTCCAGTTTTCTGGGAAGGTGCCGGATTCATAAGATATCTGGAAGAGACGCGAAAGAACTGGAGCAAGCTCCGCTGCACATCTCTTCAATACAATGGCAGGAATCAAGTCCGGACCAGAAGCTTTGTTGATGTCGAGCGACAAGAGCACTCGTCTTACGGTCTTATGCCTGAATGTTACCTCCCGCATAGTGTGGGGAACCCTTTGAATTGACGGCACTTGGACGTCGATGGTGGAGTTGGCAGCAAAGATCTTGGCTAGCACTTCCGCCTTGGCCTTTGAGTAGAATACAATAGTTCCATCCTGACACGTAAGTGGTGGAAGGCTACTGTGTGAGAAGTTCTTTTCAATCTGCTTGGCCAGCGTCCAGAAAGACCGACTGCCATTGCGCTGCGACATTACCCTGGGCCTAACTTTGATATCATGCTGGTTTTTGGCATTGCGAACCGCTTCGTTATATTTGTTTCTGGACTCGACGTCGGCTTGTCTGTTCTCTACAGTGGGGTTTTGTAAGTAGGTTCTGTGGGCCTTGATCTTCTGCTGCCGCTTAAAATGCGGTCCTGTGTATGATGTTTCATTTTTGGTCACGAATTGTGAATCACCCAGTATTAGTTTGTTCAACAATCGTTTAGATCTTCTTGATCGGATATTTTCCCATTCCTCGGCGTCGCCATTCAAACGCCCTCAGAATCGCTATTCTGCAATATTTCTAACAACTCTTGATCTGTTAACTCACTATGAGACACTTCAAATATGAATATAATGCACAATAACTACGGCCCGTATCGTCAGTCGTCCTTGATTGTCATACTCTTTTCTCTCCTTCAAAAATTTCTAGATTACACTCGTCCCGTGTCAGCGTCAGCGCTCTCCTATTGTTAAGATATGTTTTCCTTTTAAATTGTAGGAAATTTCAGGCTGATAAAACTCAAAAGCAAGCACAATTTGATGCAAATAGATGTTTGTGGCATAACCTCAAAATAGAGTGCTGACACGGAGAAGTAGAAAACTATGACAATCAAGGAGGCCATAAACGCGCCCTACAATTGTAGGGACGACTGACGATACGGGCCTTAAGTATCAGTACTCTCGTTCGAAGAATAATGGTCAAATAAACGTGCAGCAACTGTCTTGACAGTGCATGCCTGTTCCCCCACCACCGAAAATTTTCGCCTGTATACATAGTATTTGGTACAAATGAATACCGACATATGCTGATCAATATGTTTCCCGTAGTTAACTCTGTCACTGCGTAAATAAACGTTTCCCATATACCAGACACAACTTTTTTTTGCGAATATATCTGGCTCCTGTCGTGAACGGGTTAAGGGGAAAAGAGAGAGAAAGGTAGAACTAGAGCAAAGAAAAGAAGTAAATCATTTGAAATAGCTTGAGCATTATTGCTTTGACTCTTCGAACAATTTTGTAACTGCAAAAAATAATTTTGATCAGTTTTGTTTTAAAAATTATTTCAGTAGAAATAATTTTGGCCGGTCTGAAATTTAATATTTAATTTTGATCACAGTGCGAGGCGGGGCTGGAATGTTTGCGAACTTGCTTGTCTGTCAAGTCTACTGAAGAAAGTGCTTGATGTTAGGCTTGTTTTTGTCAACCAATTATCATCTCATCTAATCATCACAGAACATCAAGAGGATATAGGAGAATATCAAGACATTAACACAAAACATGTAATTCCTTGTCATGTAACGCTGCTATCAGCCATTGTACTGCTCCAAATGCACAGTAGGTGTCTGCTCACTTTTAACCTGATATTACTTAGAACAGGTTCTAAAAAATTCAGCACACATTTTTTCATACAAAAGTATGTACTAAATGCTGTCTGACAGTAACCTTAAGTTTGTGCAAAATTTAGCACAAAATTTCATTATCATGACTAACAGCCTTTAGAATAAGAAATCAAATGAAATGTAGAAAATACTCCGTCCCCTTCTTTAATTTTCCCCTTATTAGAGGTCTGAATTTCCCTCTGCACTGGGGCCACTTTAGCCAAAGGTCTGAACTTCATGTGTGTCCAAGGGCCCTTACACACCTCAAGATGGTCGTGTGCTTACCAGTTTTTCTCCCCTTTTTTGCAAGCAATTAATAACAGTTCCTTAACATATAATACCTGTTCAATAATATGTCTCTCATGGCTTCAGTATTATCATTTTCACTATTCACAAACATTTCCATCGTCCCTCTTTCAGATTCTTCATTGCCTGTATGGAAGGCCTGGTTATCTTCATTTTTCATTTCTTTGCTGTCCAAATCATCTTGATCAAGTTCACTGTGAAACAAATGAAATTAGACTGAAGCCTTCTTGGATACAAGCAGATGCATGCAAGATTAAATGCCAGCAAGAGGGTTTAATAAATAAGTAAATAGTTTACCTATGCGCATTAGTATCCATATTTGTTCAAACCACAAAACAAGGCTCTTAAAGCTATAGGGTCACAAGTACCTGTACCAGCGTATGCGTTTTTATCAAAAACTGAAGAACTACTGAAACTTCGTCACCGGAATATTGCTTCCGATTCCAAACGAAATACGTTTACATTGATTGAAAGCAGATAAGATTTAAGTTAATAAAATCCAATTTGAAATATGTATTTTCAACCCTATTTTCCACAAGATCCACAAAATCACAAAACATACAAATGTACATAACATATACACGGAAAAGAACGCTTACTCAGAACAATTCGATGGGCAACACCAATGACATTTGCCGCCATGTTTTTGCGTTGACCTTTGACGGGTGACGTATACTGGTGCCGGTATGTCTGGCAGCGCTGTGAAAAAAACAACGTTGTAGATGGTTGGCTTTATTCCAAGGTGGGCATTTGTTGAATTATAATATAAATCATAACATAGCCACATAACCTCCATCAAAAATTGTTACTTTACACCAAAAAGAAAAGCAAATTTAATTTGCGAGTATGGGTTTCCTCACAGTATTAAAGAAGATGAAACAGAAAGAAAAGGAGATGAGAATTCTTATGTTGTATCCTTTTTGTTTTTACCAATTTTTTAATGTTCTTAGTAAAATATGTAGAGTATTTGTGTCCTGATATACCTTCCTTAATGTATTCTCTAGAGGTTTAGATAATGCTGGAAAGACAACAATACTCAAACGATTCAATGGGGAACCAATAAACACAATTTCCCCAACACTTGGTTTCAACATAAAAACTCTAGAGCACAGGGGGTGAGGGTTACCACATTAAGTATATTAGAAATCCATCTATACATTCATATTATTTCAGTTATAAACTAAACATGTGGGATGTTGGTGGACAGAAATCCCTGAGATCATACTGGAGAAATTACTTTGAATGCACAGATGGCTTGATTTGGGTAGTTGATAGTGCTGATAAGAGAAGGCTAGAGGATTGTAAGAAGGAACTATTTGTTCTATTGCAAGAAGAGGTATATATTTGTCTTATTTTAAATCCGAAGCTATTTGTTTTCTTCCCAAAGTATATACAGAGTGATTCTCAAGTCGTGACCAAAAATTAAACATCATACATAGGACACCATAGGGCTTCATTAAAAAGATATGGGGTGTTGAAGTTTAAACATAAAAAACAATTGTTTTAATATCTTCAAAACCATCCAATGGAATGAACTAAAATTTGGTATGTGGATTTACCTAAGTATTATCCACATTCAAAAGTCTTTACTTAAAATTAACATGCACCACTGGCCGAGATACAGGGGACTGGTGGCATTATTTTACCTTCAATTTGCTACAAACGATTGCTCTTTTGTATTTTCCTAGAGTGCACTGTTTTCGTAAAAATAAAACAAATCAATCATTCATGAAGAGCTGAGATAAAAAAATAAGATAGGAGGCTTTGATACCAACTTGATGTTTCTTGGGAGATAGTTTGTCAAAGTTATGTGTGATAGAGTTATTGTTACTACTGCCATATATTTTTTTTAAGCCAAGGTAAAGGTTTCTTTCTTTCCCGGCGACGAAGTGCAACCGCGAAATGCATAATCAAAATGCAGATTTTATTGATTTGGTTTTTTGGTCAGATGAATCGCTATTTACAAGGAGTGGAAAATCCCTGTTCTGTAAGAATCCACTCGATTCAACACAGATTTTCGGCATTTTCAATGGCCAACTGTTTATGCACGTATTGCCACAAAGTTTAAATTCAAACTCATACTTAGCTTTTCTAAAGAATTACATAGAAAATCTGTTAGATGTTCCGTTAGCAACGAGAGTACGAATGTGGTATCAGCACGACGGTACCCCACTGCATGTTCGTCCTGACATAACCGCATGGTTAAATAATCATTTTAGACAATGATGGATTGGCACAGACGGACCCGTACATTGGCCTGCGTGGTCTCCTGATTAGAACCCCCTGGATTTCATTTGTGGGGCGCTTTTAAAGAATTAGTGTATGCTGAACAATGGTGGTCATTTTGAACATTTATTGAAATAAAGCTTTGATTATCTAATTTGTTTTTTTTTAAACTCTAAAAATAGCGCATTCCGAAAAAAACAGTGGCATGCTATTTTTATTTGGAAAAATAATGCCACTTATTCCCTGTATCTACGATACTGGCGCACGTTAATTTTAAGTAAAAACTTTTGAATGTGGAAATACTTGGATAAATCCACACACCAAATTTTAGTTCGTTTCAGTTGACGGTCTTGAAGATATAAAAAAAAAATATTTATTTTTAAACTTCAACACCCCGTATCTTTTGAAGCCCTCAAGGAGAAAATATTACATAGAAGACCCCCTTAAAATGCGGTCCTGAGTATGATGTTTCATTTTTGGTCACTCCTTGTGAATCACCCTATGTATCTACAGCAGAAACTTGGACTTCCATGGATGCTAAACCAGATTTGGACAAAAATTAGTAGTTCCATAAAGTAGGATGCAGAAGGACAGAAATAACTATACTCTATTCCACAAGTATCCATCACGGTAGAATGACAGCTGATTAGTAATATCTCAAAATTCCTCATATCGGCACAGGACCCATAATTCTGACGGATCCGTCAACTTCGGGCAGTCAGAGCCGTATTTTGTTTTGGTTTTTTGTATGCTAAAGTTTCATTTTGTACTTGCTAATAGCTCTTTCATTTAAAATAATCCATTTGCATACAAAACACTACAAACAAGTTTTTCTAGATTTACACCCAATTCATTATTGACAACGTCGCAAACTAACACAAAAATGTCATTTGCTGATCAGCTGTTCACCTCAGTAGACGTCAAAGCGTGATGGATACTCGTGAAATATGTTATACCATGGCATTAAGTTTTCCTTTCTCTATGTTAGAGGCTATCAGGAGCTACTCTGCTAATATTTGCAAATAAGCAAGATTTACCAGGAGCTTGTAGTAAAGAAGAACTTAGAGATGTAAGAGTTATTTATTAATCTATTAGACTCATGTATCATGTGTAATATTCTTGAAGATGAATCACTGTTGTTTTGTATTAATTCCTTTTTTATATATAGGTTTGCACAAGTTCCAACCTCTGACAATTAAACAGAAATTTAGATAAATAGAATAGGAAATATGGAATAAAGAAACATAACTTAATTTTTCAGATACTAGATTTGGATTCAATAAAAACACATCATTGGAAAATAATATCGTGTAGTGCTGTGACAGGTGAAAATCTCTTAGAAGGTATGGACTGGATTATTGATGACATTGCTGCAAGAATATTCACACTTGATTAATTTATAATTTTCTACATTTATTAAATAATACACTATGCTTTATTTTATACGTTTTTATAACTATGAACACAAAAATGCTACGGTGTTTCACAATTATATTTAATAAAGCACAATCTAAGTTAAACTGCAGTTTGGCTTGTTCTTCTATGTCTTGTTTTTCAAATACCTGGTTCAAGTTTTAATAATGAAAACTTCATATCACATAGTGATAAACATAAAACTTAGTCTGTGGACAATTTTTCATTTTTAAGATTTAGTTGGCTTTAATTACTATTTCTTGTATAAAATGATTCACAAATATATATTCTCAATTATATCATAATATTCCTATGTGCAAATATCATAATTATGCAATAACTGGAAATTTCCAAAATAATTACCTTATATAGTGGTTGTGGTCAACTTGAAGGCTACCCTAAATATTGACTTGCCTTATAGCTGTTTGTAGATGAAATTTTGTATGCATCTTGCTTAGCTGCGAATTCAAAATTTTAGAGCAGCTTTTAAATCGATTTAGGAGTAAAAGGAATTAGCTGAAGCATATATTCAAATATAATTTTTATTAGAAAAATATATACACCACTCATTCATTCTTATCTATATATGAAGGTTCACACAATACTGGCTAGAAATTAATACATCAGATGTCAGTGAGTGTCCATGAATTGCAATTCAGACATAACCAATATATTATTGGGCAATGGCTTGGGTTGTGGAGACAGCAGTGTTATTGTCTGCCTTTCTGTATCCAGATTTGTGCTGCAACAACAAAATCATAAAACATCAAGTGATAAACAGGTTTTATTGTCAAAAATGCATTATCAATGTCTTATCAAATGAGAGACTATAAGAGATATGTGACAGTCTGGGAATATATAATAATAATAGCGTTTATTGGTAGAGCAAAAAAATACAAAGAAAATAAAATTAAAAATTAAGAAACAATATGAATTCCCTGCAAAAGGGGGGGGGGGGGGTAACAGACGTACTAGCCCAACACACAAAATTACCAAACCAAACCAAATTATATAAGTTAATATTAATAATAAATACATAATTACAAACGTCAAAAAAATATATGTATATAAAGAAATTATATAAAAAATATAATTTAACGAAAATCATTTTAGTCAGATTTAACGAAAAAAAAAACATTTGAGATATAAAAAGGAACAATATAACATAAACACTACAATTCATCTAATAGGAATTTTCTGTAACTTCTTTTAAAAGCTGACACAGACATAGGGTTGTGGGGACGTGATTGTACAAGTGGTAGATAAAATGAGAAAAACATCTGTTAAACATAGACGTACGATGACGTGGTTGGGAAATCAGCTTCCGATACCGAACATTGATATTGTGAACATCACCTCGAAATGTAATCTTATTATATAAATAAGGCGGAGTTTTATATAGAATAATTTTATCTATTCCATACTTACACACATACAAAACCAGCAACATGAGAAGTGATTATGTCATCTTCATTTTCTGCAAAGCTGACAGCCATGATATGGTGTAAGACACCAGCATTTGGTGTTATTGGCACTAGTTTTGTCAAGTGATCATCAGCTTTCATACCCAATGGTAAACAGGAATCAGGCAATGCTGGTGCCCCAACTTTGTAGATCTTGACATCAGAGAACTTTACATCAAAGGAGTGGGGATATAAGGAATTCTTAGGAGTGCCATAAAAGTATTCTCTGATTCTTTGGTCCCTGGCTTCTACTCTGAGACTTTTAGAACGTTCAACGACCTGGAAGTTATTTAAAACAAAACTAGTGATTTTTGTATTTCCTATGAAAAATAATATACTACACATTCTAGGAGAGGTATTATGAAAACTGCATGAGGATTTGAAAGTATCATAAAAACACAATCAACCATAAAATTGAGTATCTGAAATCAAGGACTGAAAAGAAACTGGGATAACTCTGATATATGCTAATTTAATTTAACTAATTCAACTCACCCCACCACTTTTTGCCATAAATATAATTTTTACAAAATTTGGCATATCTCTAACTAGTTCATTGTATAGTCTTTCTTGATCTAATACAAAAATTGCATCTACTTCAAAAACCTTTGCATTGTTTATCAGTTGCTTATAGCCAGCATTCTTTATCCAACCACATGTATTTATTATGACGCCAGACGCACGTGCTGGAAAAAAATATTTGCTATTTTGTGTAAAACTTATAATAATACGCGACTATTTTATGCATAACATAGGGTATATTAATTATGCCACTATATCCTACTATATTGTCCATCAGCAAACATGAGGTAGATTAGTTGAAAATCTTGGATTCATATAAAAAAATTTCCAACTCGATATTTTTTCTCAATCATGTTTATTGTATGGCTGGTTTCTGGACCAGGGGGGATGTCTTAGCTCATGCAACTCATTCGATCTTATGGTATGTTTTGTGCCTCTTATGCAAACTTGCTTCTCTGAAAGCTTTGCAGATGGTTGGCTCAGTGGTCGTAAGATATTCGTCGTAACTGACGGGTTCTCCTCATCAATGACAACGCGGGTGCTCCCCAGATATCGCTCTTGGCTGCGACATTGTTCCTCTTACATACAACGAGGGGGTACCAGGAGGTAGGCTTATCCACAGGGTAGGTGGCCTATCTTTGAACGCCAATCTCACCTCTAAGTGATGTGCTCTAGGCATCATAGCTTGGTAATCGCACCAAGACTAGAGTAGAAAAATGAACTCTAATTTTTATTCTTACCACAGCTTATGGCACTGCTAGTATAGCTGATCTAAGCTAACGTGTATGGTTTATGGCGATTTTATCATCAAAACTTGACGACCTAGCAACCCTGCCGGGAATATATCTTTATCTGAATTTCTGAATGTAAAAATATCAAATATGGCTGTTTTGGTTAATATCGAGATTATCAACGCTGATGTTTTTGGAGATATTCCGTAAAAAAATGAGCATAAAATATAAAACAACACTATCAGTACCTGTAACGGTATACGTGAAATGTGACTATTGTGAGAGATGCTGAAGTTCAGGAGACTCTGTCATGTCATAAAGTGCTACAGGTAGGCTGTGAACTTAACATATTAGATTATTTATTTAAAATTGCTTGTCTGGATTCAGCCTCATTATAATCCTTGTTGTTGGCACCGTTGTATTAAGTATGAAAGGCCAACAAATTGAAGGGATAGAACTGAGCAAACTAATGAAAAGTGACTAGCGTATTTACAAAGAATTATGAATTACATTAGTGTTTTCTGTATTGTTTCAGAATTATCAAGAAGCGGTACAATGAAGTGAGACACTTGTGTTTTACAACACTCAACATGAATTTGAAATAAATCTAACTATATTTTCATGTAATACAATTTTTATACGATTGTAAACAGCATATGAATATTTTTTTAAACTAAATAAATTTGGTGCTTCATAATTATTATCCTTATTGGGGATATTGTTTTGAACATATGATCATGAAACAATCCTTCAATATCGGAAATATCATTTACAGCAGATTTCAAACTATGAACAAACGAAATCCCCGGCAACCCGGCACATTCCTTATTCCAGGCACATTCTCGGAATTCTTTCGATAGTTTCTCCAGGCAAGTAGGCTGCGCAACCATCTGACAAAACGTCAACGGAGTTGCCATCGTTTAACGTGCAGGTCCCACTTCTTCAGTCATGTGTTTTGTGGTGGGAACCACAAATCCAACAGCGGAAAGGCTCATGCAAGGCTATGGAGTCTGCTTAAAGGGACAAGAATGGACACAGCTCCAGAAAGTGTATATGGGGGTCACGATAGATTCATTTGGGTCGTAGTGTTAAGGCTATCAAGCCAAACCCTTTCTTTTATAATCTTTGTATATATCAACGACCTCCTTTTCTGTTCGATTACTCTGCTCCACAGCCTTGCTGGTGACAGCACTCTACATGTAGGAATTCATAGTAACAAGCCGATCTTTGCCAGTAAGCTGGAGAATCGACGACCAGCAGCAACTTCCACTATGACGAGAGACCAAGAAGTTATCGCTGTTTGGGGACGTAACATTCTGGTACAACAATGCTTCCAAAACACTACTGCAGCTTGACTATCAAGAAGCGTCCTAGTGCCCATCGGGTTTCGATGGATGGCCAAGTTCTACCAAAGCACCTTTCATTTCAGCTTGTCGGAGTCCAGATCACCGCAGCTAGGCTATTTGCTTAGGGCCAAGACGTGCTTCTCCACATAACCTCCTTACTCTGTACAAGGCCCAGATAAGACCTAGCCTCGAGTACTGCCGCCCCGATTATATTATCCATGCTCGATGCTATTCAGAGGAGGGCTGTCTAACTGATTGATGACTCTTTTCTAATGGGCGTTCTCGGGACCCTTTTGCACCGGCAAGCCATTGGCGACCTAGCTCTCTTCTACCTTTACGCCAATGGGCTTTGCTCCTCAGATCTCTTCTCCATGATGCCGCCGCGTAATGTGACTGCCAGACAGACCTGCCTGACTTGGGCCTCCCATCCTAACCTTGACGTATTTCGCACATCCCAGAACTGGTCGATATGACCGCTCCTTAGCCCCTAGGGTATCGAATTTGTGAAACAACCTGTAGTTGTAGTCACCGTTCTTGGCGGGTCAAAGTAAGACTACCAGTATCCCTTTATATATGTATCTCCATACATACACATGCAACCTATCTCTGCGTGTGAACGTTTGTTCGGTAAGCTCAAAGACATAAGTTTTTTAGTTGTGTGTCTCCGTCTCGAAAATTTTGACGTTATATATGAGTGCCCTTCAATCATATTTGTCAGAGTGACAACTTATTTGACATCGGCGTGCAATTTGAGTTGTCCTGTTATCAATCTTCAATATAAAATTGAACACTTTATGCGTACTGGAGTTGAGATCCGCCCATGGTACGGAGACTCGATCTGTTTACTTATTTCATATGGCGTTGATGACGTAACCGCCAAGAACAATGACTACAACTACACCTAAGGAGGGTCTTACGTTTTATTAACCTTAGGCGGGTCAGAAATCAGTTTAACAAAGTTTCTTTCAGCTTTTCAAAGCAGCCGCGGTGCACTGGTATTTAGGCATCTGCTACGCGAGTACTGCGATATAAGATTGTACTTTTACAACCTGTAACCGAATGGGTTTATCCCGTAAATTTGTAAATAAATAAATAAATAAAAAAAACATGATTTAAGAGGGTGCCAAGCGGTAACCCAATGCAAGCTTGTTTCAGCAGATTGTTTGAATCTTTCTGCACAAAAATGATCCTTAGTAACTTTTCATCATTTTCGAATTATAACCAGTTTAATGACTGAAAACACTTTAACACCAGGTTAAAAATCCTTTTATTTTTGAGGTTTAGCATCTAAATTGAATCTCAAACCTTCCCCTGCAAGCACCTGAAGACTATTTTGAACGTAGTTTATTTAAAAATATTGTTATTCAGTTGTTAATAATTAGCTATGAGCCACGGGCACGCCCGTTAGTAGCACTGAAGATGGTCCTTTCATGGTTTTAAGACATCAAATCGCATATAATTAAAAAACAATCAACTTTAGAGAATTCTAACTAAGGACCCTTAGTTCAGAATGTTCAAAAAAACCTAAACAAAAAATATTATCCAGATTAAAAAAAAATCTTATAGTTTAAAACAAGTTGTTAAAACCTTGTACTGCATGACAATCTCTTGATTGATGTTAAGAGGCATCCAATAAACAAGATACTGAAAAAAATAATTGAAAAATTTAAAGCTGGAATGTGTGCTTCTTGTCTTTTTCATACTGAGCCACCACACAGGCCTAAGGCCTAAAAACCCCTGGGTATCATTGAGTTATAGGGGGATTCCCGGTAAAGGGGGACGTCACATGGACTCTAGCGAGGGAACGCGTGTACATGTGCACAGCACCCACCTTAGAGATCTGGCAGGTGGGACCTCCATGCTCGATGGGTTAAGACCATCTAACACCTACAGGCAATCACACCAGCCACAGCTAAGACAAAAATTCTCTTGCACACCACTACACCACCATGCTAGTTAAAGATATTGTTCTATAAATATACTTACTTTTTTTATTGACTTCTAACCTTTCTTTCACAGTATTAGCTAACTGCTGAACTAGGATATTGAATAACGTTTGATTACTCTGAGGTGATTTTTGTCCATAACTATATACTAGTGGAGCCTCCTGAGAGAATCCTTCATCAATCACTGCTGGTCTTTCAACCATCAGTGCTCCTGAAATAGGCAATATATAGTATATGTTATTCTGAATCTAAATGATCATTCTAGTATATTTTGCAAAATCCTTAATAATCTAGACTGTGAGGAGTTGATAAAGCCTTATTTACAGTGAATATTTTCCAAAATAAAATTTAAAGAATAACTCTGTACACATACAGAGAAATCCATACTTCACTGACGAGTCGAGTTCAATGATTACGAGAGAGAAGCGCGTTAGAAAGAGATGGAAGCCGGCTGGTTAGCGAAGCACCATCATCTGTCAAGCCATCAGACATATTTGGTTTTCACTGTTTAAACTACGGTATAGGGCAGGTATAAATTGAAAATGTAGAAATGTAATTTAAATTGAGAGGCTCACATTACCAAAAAAATTAAAAAAGTCAACTCGCTGATATATTTGATTACAAAAGCTGTTAAAAACCATTCTCCTGCTATGACAGAAAATCTATACGTATGTAGTCGTTATTGTGTCAAAGACATCGAACTACTGGAAAAATTGCAATGTGAAATAACGCGAATTCCACCAGAGATTCGCCACATGAACAATGTCTAAGGGCAATGAATTTGACAACACTCGGTGAGTGAAGATTATGATGGGACCTGATTGATACATTCAAGATCATCAATAGCTGCTATATGCACCCTTCAAATATTTAATATAAGTCAGCATCTTCAATCTCTGAAGGCACCCCAAAGAATTAGAAAAAGAGAGGACATCTAAGTTGATAGCATATATTTACCTATAGTTCCTGGTATGGAAATATGGCCTTGTCCAACATCCAAGTCCACATAAATAGGTCTTCTACCCATCCGCACAGCATAGTTCAGCAAAATCCTGCATACTGTTGATTTGCCAACATCGCAAGGCCCTACCAACATTGCTATAGGTCCTCTCTTATTCTCTTTATCTGCCTCTACTCTCATTACCTCTAAAGCAGCATGACAGTTTGAGTATAAAACCATAGGAGTTTCTTTAGCAGTATAAATGACATCAGTTTTTCCTTTCACTTCCACAACACAACCTTGCCAAGTAAAGACTGCTACTTTAGCACCTGCGGTGAATTCATAAGTTTTAGCTTTTACTAGTTCGGTACCGAATACCTCGGCTGTACCACTTTTGAGGGTGAGGTATACTTTTTCTGTTTTGCTTTCCACCTCAAAACGTAGTTCGTTGTCTCGCTCCAATATGAACTCTTGTAGCACTTTCTTATCGGCAGACATGACTATAGACGCTGTAGCAGCGGAATTTATTTAATAACAATATTTCTTCATAGAATCCTCTAACATAAATTAATTAAATTCTTTTTGTTTTCAAAACACCGACTGACAAATCTAGGTTAGGTCGTCCGAGCAAATTTGACATCTGACAACCATTTGGTAGTGATCACATTAAATCGCTCCCACACGATGTGGCCAATGCCTTACAACGTTGGACACATGGCCATTCGCCATATCTTGTGGGAGAGCGCTGACGGATTGCATGTGTCCAACGTTCATGGCACGTTCGGGATCTTGTCGGTAAATTTGACCCGCGCGTTATAGTACAGAAGATTTACCCCTACCACTAAAGAAGATGATCGAGTTTCCCTGGATCAGCGCTTTGCCTTATCCAGTCTTATTTTATTGTATTCAGAGTTAGTCAGTCTGTTGTTAGCGCTCATACTATATACATCAATAGAATTGTATTTTTGATAATCGAGTTAAAAAGCATGTAGACTGACTCGGTTAGATAATTGGCGCAGCCAGATCGGATTTTCGGGCTGTTTCGCGAATCAGTCGAGACCGCGAAAGCAGTTTTCGTATCGACGAATTTACCGGAAAAACGGCCTACGGACTAAAGACTTTGGTGAGTGGGAGTTCGAGCGGAACCGGTCAATCGAAGACACCGTGTGCAGCTACCACCTACGAAGTCAGGGATTTGGACCACACATCGCCCAAATCTGCAAGCGGAACATTTTGAAGAAGGACCAGATCGCCCAACCAAGATCTTCCCCTTATAGTTAAGCAACCAAGTAAAGACAAAGAAAGAAACGTGATGCACTTGATCATCCTCGTATTAGCGTAAGTGCAACTATACATTTTAAATGTCTTTGGAAGATATTGCAGAGGCTATAGATAATTTGACACTTTCAACAGACTCACCTATTTTAAGACCACCTAGATTAAATATTGAAAATATTCCAAGCATGTCTCAATTCAGACCAGAATTTTTAAATTGCGTCCCAGAGTTTGACGGAAATCCTAATGACTTAAATAGGTTTCTATCAGTGAGTGAAACGTTAATTGTAAATTTTTATGATATACGGAACCCACATAATTTCCAAAATATCTATTTGCTAAATTCACTTATCTCGAAATTAAAAGGAAATGCCAAAGTGCTTGTCAATATCCAAAATATCACAAGTTGGCCAGATTTAAAAGATATTCTGACTAGGCATTTTTCTGATCAAAGAGATGAAACTTGTGTAAACCGTGATTTGGTTATGTTGAGGCAAATGCCAAATGAAACGCCTCAAAAATTTTATGATAAGTGTCTTCATATTTTGAATCTGCTATGCAGCCATGTAAACGTACATGAACATTCTGAAGAAGCAAAAGTGTTAAAAAGAAATGTATATCAAGAATTAGCTCTGAAAACATTTTTGTGCGGACTGCGAGAGCCCTTGGGTACAACAATTAGATGTATGAAACCCACATCTCTCAGCCAAGCTTTACAATTCGTTATATCTGAAGACAATGTCAGCTATTTCCAAAATTATAACAAAAATTTTGGAAAATCACAAAATGTGCCACAAAATCAAACTTCCAGGACAATGCAAAGGCCAATAATTAATCAAAATAGACTTCATACTTTCAGCCTACTAATTATTCATTCAGTCAGCCGAACACTTCAACATTTCAACCTAGGTTCAATTCGACTTTTCCGACTAGGCCTGTAAACTTGCCAAGGACAGTTTATCGTCCTCAGAGATTTCCAACGAATTCCCAGGTTTTTAGACAAACACAGAATAACAGAAATGTTTTCAAACCTAACAGTAACCGTACTTTACCACAAACTACTCCAATGAGTACTTCTACAAGAATTTCTTTCAAACCTGAACATAACTCGACAGCCCAGCAACAACCAAAACCAAATTGGATCGCTGAAGAGCTATTCAGTACAGAGACAGAAGGTAATAACACCTATGTAGTTCCTGGTAACGAATCTTTTGTTTGCGATCAAACTGTAGCTGAACCACAAAATTCAGATACATATTTCACTGATCAATATTGCGAGTATTATACACAAGATATTCCTGAAACTGATCACATAGAACCACCTCAAAATTTTCAGAAGGACTCATTCATAGACCAGAAGACCTAGCACCAGAGGTAATTTCACTTAACGCCAGCAATGCTAGCGAACTATCCTACATTCTTTTTCCCGAATATGGAATTAAAATGTTGATCGATTCTGGATCAACTAAGTCATTTATTGATCCCAGTATTGCTCGTAATTTTTTTTCAAATTTAATCAGAGATGATCCATTTGTTGTATCAACTGTTTTTCAAAAATCCGCTCACAAATATAGTGCATCCATCCCGGCATCGAAAATTTTCAATCTTCCTAATCGTATGGATTTGAAGTTTTACCTATTTAAATTTCACAATATTTTCGATGGATTGATTGGATTAGATAATCTCAAATTATTGAGAGCCGATATTAATTTAAGCAAAGGAACTTTACATACGCCCTACGCCAAAATTAGACTAATTAAGGCGGCTCCGACGCAGTGAGTTTCAGGCCATTTACAAGGGTTTAGCTGCTTCGGAATTGACGCTCCATTTTTCTATATATTTGAATAAAATTTATACAGTATGTTCAGAAGACAATTGTCCAGGGTGCTATAGAGCCACTTTTCTAAAAAAAAAATTTTTCAGGAGTTATGGTGGGTGGAAGTGCAGATAATTGTTGTTCGACTTCTCGATTTTTTTAAAAATAATCCAGTGAAAAAACGAAAAAGTGGCTCTATAGCATCCTGTGGAGTCTTGTTTTTAGTGCACTGTGAAAATTCCATTGAAAAATATCAAAAAATGAAGCGTCAATTTTGAAGCGCGAAAACCTCTGCAAATAGGCTTTTACACGAATTTTATCCACTATCTCGTGCTGCCAGTCGAAGCAACGCGGCGGTGTGTACGGACTAAGAAAGGACGTATTCAGATAATTTGTTGTCCCAAGTTTAACAGTAGCAGTTTTGACGTCGGTCGTTCGAGATAAACATCGGACCAGTAAGTGACATTTTTAATAGACTTCAATGAAAGAGGGGAAATTTTTAATCGATTCTGATCATTTCTTTTTATACAATAGGCCATGCTTCAGAGGTGATACCACAAAAAATCATTTTTGTTCAATCACCCCAATATGGATATCAAATGGAAGCACTTGTACAAAACAGTAATACGAAAACAGTTTCAAATCAAGATGGTGGCCGTCACAAAATGGCGGATAACATACTTGCTAATATCTCAAATAAGAGTCGTCGCCTTGTAGAATACAGTACTTCACTAAAAATTTGATTCCAAGATTGCCGCCTTTTCGAAATTGCGAGTTACATATTTTTGTACAAAACCCCCAATTTACATATCAAATGAAAAGACTTGACATGTGTGGTAAAATACAGAACTTTGTGACCAAAAGTTTCCAGGTGGTTCCAGGGTCATTGGAGGTGGTAATCTTTTTAGTTAAAAATAATAATTATAGTGAACGCATTTAACACAAATAAAATGTCACTTGCTGTTTAGCTTTAACCTTATGAAGTATCGTAAAATAAACTTAACACGATAAGCGTCATGAGATATAATGCGTGTGTCGCACCTCATTTGGCGCTTTGGGCCTCGTGACACACATGATATGTCTCACTGCTGGCAGTTATATTTGGTCGCGTAACGTAAGACGTGTGCCATGCTGATGTGATTTTCTTACGGGAACCAAGAGTCCGTGGCCTGAGGGACCAAATTATACTGAATTGGAAATGAAAACATTAAAAAACACGTTGTTTATAGAGTTTTACAAAAAGAGGGTATTCTACAAATCTAAAACAAAAAGCAAATCTTATAAAATAATCAGACATTCTCATTCAAAAATGAACAAAGTAATTTCACAGCAAATCAATAAGTTATGGTAAATGTCGATATTCTAACGAACACAAATATGGAGGAACTCTTATAAACTAAACAGATTGACAAAGTCTTATGCAGGAATAAACAAAATACCGGTATAAATAAACAGTAATACAGATAAATATGGAATTACTACAACTACTATCTGATTCACTACCACTTGCAGAATACGCATCAGATAAGTATACATCCCCACATAACTCAGTACTGCCACTCTCTTCATCCGATAGTATTTCATTACACAATTGTTCAAGCCTTTTTTGCTCCGCTTCGTAATGCGACACCAATAAATTTGGTATTCAATAGTTTATAAACAGTAAAGCAATTTGGACAAGATGACGTACAATACCAACAACGCTTCAATAATAAATGACACGAAACAGTGATCAACGCGCGACATGATGCAAGTCTTGACTTGCAGAAAATGCGACGCGACTTATGTGCCACGCGACCCGATTGGTCTGTGGGCCACGCGACATACAACTAGTACCTCAGAAAAAAAAATCAAAAAAGGGGAAAAATCATAGGATTTGAGAAAAAAGTCAAGTCAAAGTATTAAACCGAAACTTAAAACAAGCTAATTTGACAATAATAACAGTTTGGCCCAGTGGACTGGATTTTCAAATTCTACTGTGGCGCTTAACGTGTCAATGTGACATTTCAATATTCGCCATCTGACAGACTAGATAAAGCTAGCCGATGCTACGTGCTATTGAGCCTGACGATTGACTTTTATTTAAATAAACAATATATACATAATATACAATAAATAGTGAACATCTGGTACTAGTACCAAAATGGAAGAGATTAGCACAACATCTCGCACATCGCTGCTAAAGCGAGATCTGCACACCGCATTTGCCGACACGAAGGGGTTAGTAACGGCGTACAATGTAATATGCTAATCTCTTCCATTTTGGTACCCGAGTACAGCAAAAATAGCCAATTCTCAAGAACTCTTTTTGTGGCTTGCTCGATCTGGGAAATTTCAGAGTCGGTTTTTACAAGTTTTTTCAAGAATTCTACCTTGGCAGCCTCTATATCTTCGTTGCTCATGTCAGGCTTCTCACAGAATTCCCCATAGGATGCATTCTCTTTAGTATCACTATCTCTGATTTTAATTTTCCTTGGTTTCAGCTTCCTTTTCAGATTTTTGTGCGCTCTCCTTTCTTCAAATTTAGCACAGGCCGCTGTGTATTGTGGCTCACTACGGCTGCAGCACATCTTCCTTGGTAGGATCTCTTCTTGCAATAATTAATCCGTTTACCCCCAATGAATTTAGCTATGATTGAGTTAAACTGCTCTACAATATTATTATCGACGTCATGAAGTAAACTTACTGCATTTTTAATAAGAATTTCCAGAAATGATATCAGCCTCTGGTGCAAATTTAAAAAAAAAAGGGTATACACACCTGAATTTGAAGATCCATGCCATCTGTCTCTGTTAGAGAATGCATATATGCCAAACCTTGCTGTCATTTTTGAGCTAAAATAACATATAAAATATAGTTATAATAGTAACTACGTATAGTCTAATTTATTGGCAAAATGAATGCTAAAATTCATAATTGTTTTGGTACCTACCTTTCTATCTGGAAAACGTATTTTTTTTCCTGTGCGTATTTAAATGCGGCTTCTTCGAGACGCCACGTTTATTTCTCTTATTGTTCATTTTTGATACCTTGGTAAGAAAGACACTCAACAATAACAACACAACAATAACAACACGATAATACAACAATACAATAAGGGTAATAAGAGTAATAAGGGCTGGGTATACTAAGCGCCAAAATAGGGAAACAGTCGTATGCTAGATCGTATATCCAAATCAAATCCGACTCTGTGCAATATGCAAATTCAACCAGTCACGCGAACAGCACACCTCTGCGTATTACTATCCTTTTCTAACGTAGAGCGCTTGCCTTGTCACAACGCCGTCCTACTAGCGTTTCCCTATCACCCCCCCGATACCCCTCAGAAACTCTGCTTGACTGTGAGAGCGTCGTTAAATTTGATAACCGTCGCACCTCGAACCAAACAAGGAAACAAGTAATGAAAATCAAAACATCGATCGCCAATGGTGAAATCGTAATTCCTCATCAAAAATTTCATAATTGTGAGATACCTGAATGCCTTACGATAGCAAAAAATTATTTTGCGTTGACAACGATTTTGAATAACACTACTAAGCCTGTTACATTAAATTTTTCTCAGCCGATTTCAGTAGAATCATTTAATTTATCAGAAATGCCGGAAATTGATCTCAATTATTTAGACACTTCAGAAAAATTTGACCTAGATTTGTCGAAAATCGGGATTGATCACCTAAATTCTGAAGAGAAATCAGAGATACTTCAACTTTGCAGAGAGTTTTCAGACATTTTTTACCAGGACGAACTCCACTAACATTTACTAATAATGTCAAACATCAAATAAAAACCAAAAACGAAAGGCCCATTTACACAAAATCGTATCGCTATCCATTTGTTCACAGAGGCGAAGTAAATAGCCAAATACAAAAAATGTTGGATTCCAATATAATACGTCCAAGTAGCTCAGGTTATAATTCACCTATCTGGGTCATTCCAAAGAAGCTAGACGCTTCGGGGAAGCAGAAATGGAGAGTTGTAATTGACTACCGAAGTTTAAATGAACAAACTATTGACGATAAATATCCATTACCCAATATCAACGACTTGCTAGACAAACTTGGCAGATGCCAGTATTTTACTACCCTTGACTTAGCGAGTGGTTTCCATCAAATAGAGATGGAGGAAACAGACAGAAAAAACCGCCTTTAGTACCGAAAATGGGCATTGGGTGTTTCTCCGGATGCCTTTTGGCCTAAAAAACGCGCCCGCCAAATTCCAACGCGTCATGGATAATATTTTAAGGGGGATACAAAACGAGAAATGTCTCGTATATCCCGACGACATTATAATTATTTCTACATCCCTTCAAGAACATATTGAAAATATAAGGTCAGTTTTCCAACGACCCAGAACTTCAAAATTTAAAATACAGCTCGATAAATCAGAATTCCTTCGTAAAGAAGTAGCGTATCTCGGACATGTAGTCACACCAGACGGCGTTTAGCCAAATCCAGATAAAATTATTGCCATCCAAAAATTTCCGATTCCAAAAACGACTAAGCAGATTAAAAGCTTTCTCGGACTTATTGGTTACTATAGACGTTTTATTAAAGATTTTGCGAAACTCACAAAGCCTCTAACTAAATGTCTAAAAAAGGGAGCCAAAATTGAACACGATGCAGAATTTATTGACTGTTTCGAAAAATGTAAAAATGTTCTTATGAATGAACCGATACTCAAGTATTCAGACCTTTTAGCCATTTAACTTAACCACGGATGCGAGCAACGTAGCCCTTGGTTGTGTAATTTCACAAGGCCCTATAGGACAGGATCTTCCTATCGCCTATGCTTCGCGCACGCTTAATGATTCCGAACGAAATTATAGTACCATTGAGAAAGAATTACTAGCAATAGTCTGGGCGACTAAATACTTTCGACCCTATCTTTACGGGAGAAAATTCAATCTAATTACTGATCATATGCCCTTAAAATACTTATGGTCCCTTCGAGACCCTTCTTCAAAATTACTAAGATGGAAAATCAGGTTAGACGAGTATGATATGAATATCATCTATAAGAAAGGCAAACTGAATACAAATGCAGATGCCCTGTCTCGTGTAGAGATCCATACAAAAGAAACCAGTTCATTTTGGAACGACTTAGATCATTTGATTCAAGAATGCGCGTGTACTCAACACCAAAACGTTAAGTTTGACCTACCAGTTCAGAAAGGCTCATCTGAATTAAGTACACCTACATTTTACTTTTCTACCCCAAAACAACCGGACCTAACGTCATTTATCACTTATACTTTGAAAATCCAGATATATATGAAAAATTTTCTGTCGTTCTACAAAGGATGTTTAAGTCCGATACTTTGAAATTCAAAATGTATAGAACCAAATTAGTCAACGTTACAGATAAAACTGATATCAAGGACATTATCCGGAATTACCACGGAAGCAAGTCGAATCATCGTGGAATTGAGAAAACGCAGCAGAGAATAAAAGAAAAATATTTTTGGCCTAACTTGAAAAAATCCATTCAAACATTTATAAATGAATGTGAAATTTGTCAACAATATAAATATTAGCGTCATCCGATAAAAATTGCGATGAATCTCACCCCCACTGCATCAAAACCTTTTGAAATCGTACATATCGATACTTTCACTTTTGAAGGTTCAAAATTTCTCACAATTATAGACAGTTTTTCTAAATATGCTCAAGCATATCAGATTACTTCGCTTTCAGGAACTGAAATTGCTGATAATCTGATATTATTCTTTTCTCACCATGGAATTCCTACCAGAATTATCGCAGATAATGGTATCTACTGAATTCAAAAATACCGTTGTAACTGAACTTTTGTCACTTCATAAAATTAAGCTTCATTTTATTTCGCCAAATCATCCAGATTCTAATCGAGTCGTTGAACGATTTCATTCAACTATCATCGAACATTTAAGATTGTTGAACACAGAAGGCTTTCAGAAAACCCCTTATAAAAATGAAAATGTTGTATGCCGTTTTAGCCTACAACCACACCTTACATTCTGTCACAAAATTAAGCCTATAGATATAATCAATGGACATATTACGTCGTATGAACCATTCGATATCAAAATCGACCAATTACTCCTCAATGACTATACCAACAGCCACAAAGAGCGTACAAAACTATTGTATTCAAAAATAAATTCTGATCTCATTCAAAACAAAGAGAAAACGCTATAACGCGTTAACAGAGATTGCGATAGTCCGAATATACTTGATAACCGAGAAACAGTATACGTCACAAAGCATGTTAGAAAAAAGCACGCCAACAAATTCTCAAAGCCGTGTAGACTACAAAGTGTTGATACGGAGAAAAAGACCGTCACGACGGACCAGCACGGAAAAGTGCATATAAGTAATTTGAAACGTCCTCTACGCAAACTTTATTCGTTTGACTAAGCCTCGAGCAATTAGATAAGAAACTATGTATGTAATCTACGTTTACTCTATTCTTAATTGCACGCTAAAAATAAGATTTTCTTTCGAATATATTATTTTACAGGTTCCCAGGAATCATAGGAATCCATGGTACGATAACGTTGAAGAATTTAGAAAATAACCTAGGGTTGATACCCATGAAATTAGGGACCGCCAAAATCACAAAAAATTGTCACTCAATACTGTATTTTTACGACGTCAATTTAATAATCACTGAAGTTAATGACCTTAAGAAAAAACCGAATATGTTGCGAAATTATCCAGGAAATATATTGAGCACTATAAACACTCAGCAAATTACCTCAATGTTTTGTATTTCTTAGAAAGAAAAGTAGACGGAAAGCTAAATGACATTTTTCCCTCTACTTACGAAACTGTTCCATCATTCTCTGTTAGAATAAAAAGAGGATTAATAAACGGCTTAGGTTCAATTTTCAAAGCAATCACAGGAAACCTGGATGCTTCAGATGGTGAACAATTCGAGTCTCTAATAAGCGATTTGCAGAATAATCAAAACAAGTTATCAGAAGCTATCAATAGTCAGAGTACCTTATCTGTCGAACTTATCGATAATTTCAATAAAACTGTAAGTCAGATTACTCATAACCAAAAGCTATTGGAAGCTAAAATAAATCAGCTTTCAACAGCTATGATTAACACACAAGCCTACATAGAAAATGGCACTTTCTTGAGAGATACAATCTCAGAGATCATGAATATCTATCATATCATAATTTCAGTACTCCAGGATATAGAAAACTCACTTACTTTTGCAAAATTGGGAATTATGCACCCCAGTGTAATCAAACCAAAACATTTACTTCAAGCACTAAACTCAGTGGTATTAAAACTATCCACAAAGCAACTGACTTTAGAAGTTACTTTGGATAATATCCCGATTTTTGAAAAGCTCATTAAAATCAGATGTTATACAGTTGATAGAAAAATAACATACATTCTTCAAATTCCAATTGTTCATACATTCCAATTTGATTATTATCACTTACATTCAATTCCAACCTTTCATACGAGTCTGTTCAAAGTAGTCATCCCTTCTGGAAAATATCTTGTAAAGAATGAGTTGTATTTCGCTTTTGCGGGAGACGCATGCACGGAAACGATCGCAAAACAGTACGTTTGCAAGGAACTAGATTTAAGAAGAATCAAAGAATCCAATCCAAAGTTCAACTCCTGGTACAAAAAACTCCCACTACCCGCCGAGAAGTAGAAGCCGTAATCACAGAGCCAGTAATGAAGAAACTGCATGATTTCGGACAATGGATCTTGCTTATACCCAATGAAACCACCATTACATTAAGCTGCCAAGAAACAGTCAAAGTTTTGGGATCCTACTTAGCCGAAATTCCAGTCGGTTGTACACTGGAACTAAATCAAGACCTGATCGCCAATCAAGAGCCTATATCGATTGGAAGTCAGCCAATTATTTTTCCAAATATCGATACCAATACTTCAATTGCTACCAAGCCGAATGACTTCAGCCTTCATCTACACCAGATAGAATTTGATGAAGTTCACAACGTAAAAAGAAGATTAATAGAAAATCGTGTTGACATCCATTCACATAAGGTATCGCACATTCCCAGGTGTTGGACAATCCTGTTGTATGGAGTACTGCTGCTGCTACTTTGCTGTTTGGCTACAAGAAGATCATTCCGAAGATTTTTACTAAGCCGAAGAAACCACAAAGAACCCCTATTGAAGAAGTTGATCTTTCCAATGTGCAACTTCCTCGTTAACCCTCGAAGTTGCAGCTACAAGAGGAGGCGTTATAGTACAGAAATTTACCCCTACCACTAAAGAAGAGGATCGAGTTTCCCTGGATCAGCGCTTTGCCTTATCCAGTCTTATTTTATTGTATTCAGAGTTAGTCAGTCTGTTGTTAGCGCTCATACTATATACATCAATAGAATTGTATTTTTGATAATCAAGAATAAATCTTTTTAATAAGCAAGTAGACTGACCGGTCAGATAATTCGCGTCAAAGGTCGTTACAACGTTGGAAGCATGGTTCGTTACTCTCCCACACGAGATGTCATGTGTTTGATGGTTTTAGGTTAGAACCAGTAGCGGCGAAAAACATTATTTATTTGATTGCTGTGATTGTGGTGAAGTAGTGGTATGTGGGAAGTATTTTGATTTGAATACCTACCTCTTCATAATAATGTATGTTCCTTAACTAACTTTTAACGAGAATGGATTAAATCAGTATACATACAAACTATAGGCTGCCATAACAACACTTTTTTCATATTGCTATTTTGTACGTTTTGCAGGTGAGTTATGGCTGACCTTATGATTTGTATTTTAGTAAATTATAAACTATCAAGTGCTTACAGTTGTTTCATTATAATGTCCTGTTGCAATGCGAGACTAGTTGAGAAATATATTGACTTCCATTTCGTAACTAACGAAAAATACTAAATAAACAATAGCTATGAAAGTACTTTCACGATTTTGATGAAATTTTGACCCTAGGTAACTACTATGAAAAAGCTCTGCAGTTTTTGAAAATCGGTACACTGGCGATGGAGCTATCGTCGAAAAACAAAAACGGTCAAACTTCGTTTATCGACATTTTTGAGACTTCTGACAGACTTAAGTTTTGGTCGCTGAGGACAGATCTGAAATTATTTTTCGGCGCTAAAAAAAATTGTTTCTTCGTTTATTTTGTACAATTTTTCCTTCAGTTGTAAAGGTTCAAGCGCGACACTGACACCGATAATAGACGTTGGCACCACCGTGTGTCGAACGTCTGAGACTAAAAAGTTCATCCCATCGTGTAGGAGACACACTTGCCAATTGAGAGGTGTCGAACGTTGTAAACAACGTTGGGAGCATCGTGTTGGACCCGCATTAGTGATAGGTGAAGTTGACCACTCAACACAAACGCGATTAATAACTACTGTTTTTAAGGCAGCAAGCAGCAACAACTGATGACAGGTGGGATTTGTATTGAAGATACCATGCTGACCAAATAAATTTTTCAGGGAATCTTGACTTAAATGTAATTCTTATTTGCCAGCCTTCAACAAATTTGAAATAGTTTGATTTGTCAACCCCAGCGAGAATAAAAATTGAATTTAATTTAGATAGCCTTGAGCAAACATTCCAGTGGACTTTATACATAATTGATTCCTTAGGGCTCAATTGTTGATATAACAGAGCCCTTCTGTAACAAAAAAGAATATTTATCTAAATAATTAGATTCTGTTCTAGAACCACTTCCACTGATTTCAATGTTTTGAACTTCCAGAATAACACTTGAATTTTCATTTTGCTCAGAAGGGGTTGGACTTGTGGTAGCCTCTCCAGAAGGAGGGTCATTGAATAAAACTCTAGATACTGAACTGCGACCTGGTTTAGTAGGATGACTATTATTTGAATTTAAAACTGTATTGAGGAACACTGCTATGGCAAGATATCTGTGACGTGAAGGATCTTTGCGGATTACTACGATCAAACATTGTAAAATGATCCTCACAAAGATAATAATTGGAAACTTTACGAGTGGCAGATATCCTACAAGCTGATTTCCATGCAGCAACAGTTTTTTCAACTTTTGGAAAACGATGAATACTGAATTAAGCGTCCACACGTTAGTTATTATACTAGTTCGTTTCTGTTAGAGCCAATGTGAAGATGTCCGACACCGAAACCGAAATTGCTCTAAGCGCTTTTACAGTACTGGTATAATTTATATTTGTTATTGAAAAAAAAGAAAAAGCCACGTCAAAGGAGATGGTGGATGACAACGCATCATAAAACTACCAGTAAGTACAGACCATACACTCCATTCAGCAGCTTTTTACAAGGCAATTTAATATTAAATTATCTAATAATGTGTATACAGTGTGTCCAAGATAAGAATGTCTATCATGAGGATCTTGGAAAACAAAAGTGATACGAAGATGGTTAAATTTCAAGCCTAACAATATGCCGTTTAGAAAGTTTTAAAATTCCGAGTTGTTCCGGAGGTATGCCTAAAAAACCGAAATTTGCCGATTTCGTTTTTATTTTTTTCTGACGTTATTTAAAGAGATATGGAAAAACAAAAGACACTTTCTTATGGCTACTTTTTAAGCTCTACAAAACAGCGTTGAGAGATTTTCCGCACGATGTTTCGTTTCGGAGAAACCATCATCAACTTTATTTTTTATATGGCGCGTAAAAAAGTATGCCCTGTATTAAATAGCATTTTTTAGGCATACCTCCGGAACATCTCGGAATTTGAAAGCTTTCTAAACGGCATATTGTTAGGCTTGAAATTTAACCATCTTCGTATCACTTTTGTTTTCCAAGATCCTCATGATAGACATCCTTATCTTGGACACACAGTATACACATTATTAGATAATATAATATTAAATTGCCTTGTAAAAAGCTGCTAGAATGGAGTGTATGGTCTGTACTTACTGGTGCCGAGTTTTATGATGCGTTGTCATCCACCATCTCCTTTGACGTTTCTTTTTCTTTTTACAACAAATATAAATTATACGCACTCATCAGTACTGTAAAAGCGCTTAGAGCAATTTCGGTTTCTTTTTTAATTCCTCGATAGAATAAATCATTTTCATATTCTGTTGAATGTTGCGCCATGCATCGGCTACTAAATTTCTATTTTTATGGTCCTTGCGAGAGGCGTTGAATATTATTGGATGCGCCTGGTATAACTCTAAAAATTCTACAACTTTTTCGTTTGTCCACGCGGGTAGCGATGTTGTTGATGACATATCTCCACATACACACTCGACGCGTGTTACAACAAGACTGAGCCAAGAGCCAGTGAGCCAATATGTGGACGGATTGCCAACGTTGGCGCAGATTCCTTTGATAAAACCGACAATCGACAGCCAACTACCAACGGTCGCTCCAACGTTGGGGCCAACGCTATTTTCTAGATACACACGTTGGGCGAGTGGCGTTGGGGCCAACGTGTGGAGCCGGCGTAAGAAGGTTATTTGCATGAGTACTTTAAAGTAACGATGTACGAAGAGGCAACCCAACCCCAAATCCCGACATGACTGATTTACAAAAGAAAAACAAGCTTCTTGAAGTCTTAAGTATTCCTGCACACAATAATCAAATTCAAGCGGATAACCAAATGGAAATGGTATTTACCATTTTGGGTTGGTATTTACCAATCCGTTCAAGCGAGTGTAGTTATCAGTTTGGTTATAAGATCCGTGACGTCACGAATCAGCTGTTATATGTCATAGTTATCACCGCAAAATTGTGGTATTTACCCAACTCAAGAGTAGTTTTATATTTCTGGTTATTATTTGAAATGTGACAAGTTAGAATTTTGCCGGGTATTGGATATTGTTATTGTACTTCAGCTTCATTTTTGAGAAAAATGATACAGGCTGACTTCAGTTTTACCATAAAGTGGAGCACCTTATTAGTTATACTCATTACGGTTGTTAGGGACACTTTAAATGTAGTTCCTATACTTAACAACGTATCCTGTGTAGCCCTATACCACAAGAATATTAAAATATGGCCATATAAACTCACTAGATGATATCCACTTGTATACGGTTTTGCTAATTTCTTTTTTCATAATTTCTGCTGAATCAATAAATGTTTTCTTTGTTATGCGTAAAAAATTAGAGAATTGAAAGTTATCATAGCTACAAAGGCATGATTCCATCATTAAAAAAAAAACTGAAAAAAACATTTTTCCCATGAATATTATGAAAGGTTTCTTATTTAAACTTTCCATATACAGTTCTAAACGAAAAAGCACCGAATATTAAGTGATAATAAAAATAATCAGAGATTATATACGCGCTTTTCTAAAATAAACAACTTGCAACAAAACCGCGGTTAAAACCAACGCGTTCAAGCGATTCGTGTAACTGACGTCATCAACCCGTGTGTCATCTTGAACCATATTATAACCGCGGCACATAACACAGAAATTTTGGTTATTCGCTTGGATTTGATTAATGTGTTTTACATTGAAAAATATATCACAAAGGTTATTATTATATGAAGATTATGAACGATAATTTCTCGTTTGGGAATTACATCAATAATTAAAAATTTAATGTGTACTTGTGTAGGTTAATTTATTTTAAATGTTTGCCGCGAGATGTCACCGAATGACTGAATGCTGAAGTTATCATATGACTGTCAACGTGGATGTGTTGATGTGACAGGTAGGGTAAGTGATAAGTGTTTTTTTCGCCTTTTCACACCACATAATTCAAAGTCTGATCTTGGAACTCCAAATAGTACAAATTTCGATTCCGTAGTTTTCAAAATAGCTGTTTGGAATATTTTGAGGAACTCGGTATCGACTCGATTTTGAGCATTTTTTATAGACGTGTACATATTTGATACATAGTGAGTACCTTTTGAGATTGTATGTATTTATTTGAAAATTTCCCACAACATTCAATAATGGATCTTTTATCTTTAAATTTGTTTTCAGTTAGTCATGGGGGCAGCAAAGGCCATATGTAAATTCTTTTTCAGAAGATTTTTAGAAGTAACAATTGTCTGCTTATTGCTATTATTCATGCCAAATGTACCACCTTACACCAAAATTGAAGAGCCCTACACGTAAGTAACGTCCTTGAAAGTTTAATTATATTATAATTCTAGAGTACCCCTTTGTATTGTATGCAAACCCTTTTGATTTTCTTCAAAATAAAATACTCATTTTATGAAAATTTAAACGAATTTTTTATGGTATAAACTTGGAATTTGGAAAATAAAAAATGAGCCCTTTTGGCAACTTTTCACAGAAAATTAAGAAAATGACCTGCAATAACTCTGTTAATATCATATTTCTGATTTCTATCATATATATTTTCTATAAAAATTATGACTTTTTGAAGAAATTGTTCTTTATGGTATGGTAATTCTCTAGCTTAACTACACCAGCCTTTTATATAAGATTAAAAATGCCTGCAAATGGGTTAGTTGCAGAATATTGTTGATATTATCTGGGTTTCAAAAGGCTTAAGACCTTTTTAATCAGGTCATTTGCAGAATGGAAGGGATCATATATATATATATACTGCGATGTTGCCAAATTGATAAAATATATGAAAATTAACAAAAATACGCATTTTCACGCGTAGCAGCTCTCCTTTTAATCTAGGATTTGATCTCCTTTGAGCCGCTAGTGCATTACATGTTATGTAAGGTTGTGTAAAGTCATACATACAAATTTAATTATTAAGAATATCCATCAGCACGAAAACCTATTAAGTAATGAAATCTAGCAACATCAAAAAGTATTTGAAAACAAACATTCAATAAAAACCTATTATAAAGTAAAATATTTCAGAACTTTTATGTTTGCGCTCATATCCAGGCCCATTTCTTTCATCTACACCCAAAAACCATGGTCTAAAATCATTTTTTCATCAAAAATGGCTGGTGTAGTTAAGCTAGAGAATTACTTATGGTCTTATCCTCAATATGATGCCAAATTTTTTTGTATACATCTCAAAAAAATAATCGATTATAATGGAAATACAGTTATAATTCATATTATAGTGTAGCACCAACCAGACCATTGGAAGGTAAACTAGTGCTCAAAGAAAGTCTGTCAGATGTAGAAATTTGGCATAAAGGTGATCTGATTGGCCCAGAAGGCTTTGCTGAATATAATGGTGAACTTTACTCTTCACTAGCAACTGGAGAAGTTGTAAAACTTACTGGAGAACATATCACTCCAGTAGTAAAATTTGGCAAACCTTGCAAGGGTGCATATGAGGAAAGGATTTGTGGAAGACCTCTTGGTATGCAGTTTGATAAAAATGGGTTGCTGATTGTGGCAGATGCATACTATGGTCTATTCAGGGTAAATGTTAAAACAGGTAAGTTAAGGTCTCCTATAGGTGTCTTGCTAAAATTACTTCCACCTGATTGCCTGATAATTTTTATGTTAATCTATTGACCAAGGATCATTGAGCTGCCTTACAACAAAGCATGAAGGGTCACTATGAAAAATTAGGATTTTGAACTATTTTTTAGGAGACAAAGAGCTTTTGGTGTCTCCTGATCAAGAAATTGAGGGCAAGAAAGTAAAAGTTTTCAATAGTGTTGCTTTAGCCAGCAATGGTGACATTTACTGGTCAGCATCTTCAACAGAATTTACAATAGAAAATGGCGTCCTTGATCTTTTGGCTGATCCTTCAGGCAGGTAAGAGTCCATGTATTGAAAATTTTATAATATTGAAATAATCCTTAAGTCTCATTATTTTTTGCAATAGTTCTTTTTTCTTCATAATCCTATCCATAGGTGTCATACATATTACAGTACCAATAAAAATGGTCATATTTTATTTTTGATTGATTATACACGATATAAAACCATTTTTTGTTGATCTCTGTTACTATTTGACCTTTATAAATGAATTTTATTATTCCATGAGATTCCTAAAGCAGCAAGAGTGATAGCTTTGATATATCAATCTTGAAATTTAACTAGTTATGATGTACTAACAGTTTTCTTTTTTAACAGTCAGTGATACTAAAGCATGCATGTTTATAACTATACAAACAATGTACAACATGAACATAATATATATTTTAATGCGAACAGTAAGTTTACTTATCTCATTTAGTAGCAAATAATACAGTATAATTGCAAAACTAATGTGTGGTTGTGTTGGTATTTAAAGATTGTTTTCTATTTGCTTTGTTGTAATGTTTCAGATAATATTTCAACAAATCACAAATTACCTTCAATATATGTGTATAGGTGTGTTAATTCATCTAAACAATTAGCAAAAAAAAGTATTTTTAAAACCGGATACCAGGTTAGATTCATTATCAAGTATAAATTATTTGACCATCAACTCACGATGCTCTCGTTTGTCAGAAGAAATAGAGAGGATGTTCAGATATTGGGACTACATGAATGTTTTGTAAAAAAATTAATAAACAGTTTATTGATTTTTTTCATCAAGCCTGTCCTGTCCTGATCCCTGTCAAGTTTGTTTAACATCACTTATGTAAAAAAACTATAAAAACCTACATTATTCAGGTTTGCATAGTTTTGGCTTATTACTTGCATGCATTTGAATAGAAGTGTTAGCAAAATCTTATCAATGTCAGGAGTTTGAAAATCAGTGAATTTTGTTTTATGTTGATTTATTTAATATACTACAAATATGAAACGCATTTTCAACATTACTGATTGCAAGGAGAAATACTACATGAGTATCCTCATTTCTACCCTCTTTGGGTAGTCATCATATTCTGTGAGGAACTGGGAGTATAGTACTGCTCCTTGTCTGTCCAGATTTTATTATCAATTGAAAAAAATTCAATATCTCGCCTATTGTGTGGCTAAATTTAGTTTGACCTTAACCTTTGTAACAATCAAGGTGATATTAGCTGCACCATTTAAAGTGATTTCATTTCAAGCAGTAAATATTGATATGGATAAGCATGTTTTGTTTGCCAATAGATATTATTTTGAATGTCTGAGAGAACTTGTAACAATCAAGGTGATATTTGCTGCACCATTCAAAGTGATTTCATTTCAAGCAGTAAATATTGATATGGATAAGCATGTTTTGTTTGCCAATAGATATTATTTTGAATGTCTGAAAGAACTTTTATTGGTTTAATATCATTACGATAAACATACGATGCAAAACGTGCAAAATAATTTTGTCGTATGATTGTAATAATTATCTACCAAATATGTAATTTTAATGCTAATATCGAACTTGGGCATCACAAACCAGGAAGTTAGTAATTGTACAAATTTAAACATCAACTTATTGTCTTTTAATGAGTTTCATTTCCTTGAAATTACCTGCACATCATTTTGGCTTTCTTGACGATATAAAATACGTTCCAAAAATAAATTAAAACGTTCTCAAAAGGAACCTCGTAATACTGCAGCATTTTCTAGGATATTTCTCAATCAGTCAGTCATTTGAAACCTTTAGTTTACACAGGTTATGTTATATATGATGCCTTTGGCTTATATATAAACATCAAAAAAAAATTATATGCCTTCTGAACACGTTAAAAATTTGTACTTAGCAAAGGGGTGAAATATAAAGACGAGGATAGGGGACGTAGGATAAAATCTTTTTACGAAGTATTATCATTATGAGGCTTGGTTTGGCATTGCTGCCTTGGATTTTGGTCAAAATCTGCTTCACTGATTTATCTTCCTCAGTGTTTTTGAGAAGTTTCTTGTGCTCCTGATCCAGACGTGTTGCCATACTGTCCTCTTGTAGCATCTCCCAAAGTATGTCATATGGGATGGAGTAGGAGTACTGCCCATTTCTTTTATATCTTCTTAAGGCACCTCTCTAACTTAAGAATGCCACTTTTACTTATGCGTGGGAACACAGCAGTAAGTGCGTATGTTAGAGCAGGGTAGATGCAAGCTTCAATTATTTGCCATTTCACTTTTATAGAAACATTCGAGCTGAAGCCAATGATTAAAAAGTGCTCGATTAGCCTTAAGAATTCTTTCTTTAATGAGGCTGCCCGGACTTACTGTACAATTTGTTCGAGGATGGGGTTTAAGACTCTTTGTTTCCCATTCCCCCCATACTTGATCTGTTTAGGGTACGTTCGTGCTCAAAATATTTCTTCCATTGTCCTCTTTGCTCTCATCGAAGCAGTCGCGCAGGCGGAAGCCTAAATGCCCGAACATCGCGGCTGCTATGATGACCCCAAAGAAATTTTGTTAATACGATATTTGAACTGCGTAAGGTTAGTAGAACTGGGAAAAGCTTCCTCTTGTAGATTGTTCCACAAGCTCGACACCCTCGGGACAAAGGAGCGGTCGTATCGGCCAGTTCTGGATGTACGAAGTTCGACACGGTTAGGATGTGATGCCAAAGTCTTGCGGGTCTGTCTGGCAGGCACATCGCGCGGCGGCATCATGGCAGAGAGCTCTGAGGTGCAAAGCCCGTTGGTGTAGCGTTAGAAAAGAGCTAGATCGCCGACGGCCCGCCGCTGCGAAAGAGTCCTGAGACTGTCTGTTACAGAAGAGTCATCGATCAGTCGGACTACCCTCCTTTGTAGGCAGGGCGGCAGCACCCCAAACGTGTGAGCAATACTTGAGGCTAGGCCTTATCTGGGCCTTGTGCCATCGTTTATCGTGCAATGTTTTCTACCGGCAGATTAGCAACGTATAGGTTCCACAGGTAGGACAGACGATAGATCCCTGAGGTACAGCGTAGCGTTGGTGGTATATTTTGGTTTTGCCATTTATTTGTCGGGTTAGCAAATAGTTTTCTATAATTTTGATAACATAGTTGGGATGTCTGTTTGTTGTAACTTATAAGTAAGAGCACTATGAGTAATAGAGTCAAGGTCGGTAGTAAGCGCTACTAAGTGATGTCGTTGTGCAAGTGCATTTGTAATGACTTTCACTGTTCGCAAAAGTTGCACTTGTGTGCCCTTGCCTTGGTAAAGCCATGCTGATATTCTGGAATAATTTTACTGACACTAGGAATGATTTGTTGGGAGTATAACTTTTTCGGCAATTTTACCCATTATATTGAGTAAAGTGATTGGCCTCTATGATTCTGGTAGTCTTGGATCTTTACCACCTTTATGGAGACATGTCATCTCACCCAATTTCCAATGCTGAGGAAAATATCCAGTACTAAGAATCCTATTTACGAGTATTATATATTTCTATTTTGCTTTGTCGTTATCACAGGCAAGCAAAACTTATTAGTGCATCTAAATAATTTGTGGCGCTGAATTAGAATATGACTACGAAAAAAATATCGTAGGGGTCCTTAACGACAAACTGAGATTGGATCCGCACTAGATTTATCCTGAAAACAAGTTGTCGTTCAAATCATAGATATGCAGGTTTTTGACTGTAGAACATAGAAAAATATTTTAATTGTCGTTTTTTGGCCGTTGAATGAAAACACATTATATAGTGTAAGGGGGAATGGTACTTATTTTTTGAAGGTTATTAAGATGAAATTTCTTGAGTTCTAGGTGTGACAGTTTTGCTATTTGATGCATAGTTTGAACACTTTTCATTAAATTAATTAAATTAATCAGTGCGAACTACAAATTTTCAAATAAATCAAATTCAAAAATATCTAGTTCTATGCGAGCTCTCAATGTTCTTTCAGGTTATTACACTATGATGTCAAAACAAAGAAAAACAAAGTGCTGATCGACAAAATTCACTTTGCTAATGGTGTACAGCTTTCAGATGACGAGGAATTTGTAATTATTTCAGAAACTCCTAGAAACCGTATTCATCGTTACTACCTTAAGGTATAATAAACAATGACTATGTATAGGGAAAGTTCATAGCGTTCTAAAACCAGGAGTGACCTGTCGATTGAGGAGCGGCCAACTGATCAGACACTTGAGTTATAAAAGTTGACGTCTACGAGGCTTGATCATTGATTCCAGACTCTTTTGGAGATGCTGATTTGATGAATGTTGTGGACAGTAATGTGTATGTCAAACGGTTTTGATATTTCGTTGTATGTGTAACAGGGTTTTCAGATCCAGAGCAAAGAACCCTAATACCCGCAAAAAATGGCGTCAAGGATTATGTTAGGCACAAGGTAAACCCTCTGAGAAAAAAGTTACTAACATGTAAAACAGAGAAATTAAATGGATCAAGTTAGTCAAAGAGGCTGAACAATTAGTGAATAAATGTGTTGATGTTAGCCGGGATTATGTAGAAAAATATAACTGTAGCGTTACTGGAAGTAGGTCAGAAGCATAGGAATCGACCACTGTACTCCAGGGTTTAACAAAAAAAAAATAAACATAGCCGTAGTACAAAGCTCAGAAGTATTTTGGACTTCCAAACCAAACCTGTTGGTATTTGAAAATTGGACAGTCACTCCTAGGTTTGATCGCGCTTCGAAATATGACTACAGTTTCTGGACGACCGATTGACATTATGACGTCTGTATTTTTAGGGTTCCAAAAAAGGTGTCCATGACATTTTCATTGATGGGCTACCTGGTATGCCTGACAACCTGAAATCTGACGGAAAAGGAGGGTTCTTTGTACCACTCATCGTGGCTGTAGATTCTGAAAATAAAGCTTTGCCACAGATTATTGGCCCTTATCCTGCAATAAGAAAAATAGCAGCTCGGTTTTTGGGAGTGATACAGCTTATATTCAAGACTGTGGACAAACACTATCCCAACGAATTTTCTCAGAAAGCTATCCATTATGTGAGTATATTTTCAAATTGGATGATATATTTTATTTATAGAGTTGATAGTAAATGAATTGACTTTAACAAAATATTTTTTCACTACTATTCCTTGTAACCAACATTATTGACCACAATTTTCCAATGAGAAGTATCTTATCTCTCCCTTTGTCTAAGTTAATAATGATAATGATTGGCTTCTCAGTAACAAATGACATTGGCATAGCTTCTCATGTGGTTATTTGTTCTCACGAATCGGCGTAATATTGGAAAACGTCTTTCGATGTTAACAGAAGGAAAAATGGGCAGCTATGGTTCCAGCTTTTTTGCCTGCTTATTGGAGGTGACCGCTTAAAAGAAAACTAACAAATATAGGAATTGCACAGTTTTTTATTTATAAGTGACATGATAACATTTTGTGACTTTGAAGTTGAGTCATTAATTTTCAGATAATGATTGTAGAAGGAAGATAAACCAAAATATGTGTGTAAAAATAAAAAAAAAAAATTAAAAAAAATGTTACCTTGTTTTATAAAGTATCCTCCCGACAAGTATTTCAGTGCAGACCGGTATTTGATCGTGCGGTCTTCGAGCACCGGCATGCCCTCCCCCGTGAGGTCTTAAGTCACCTGATTCACGAGCCCTTTGTACTACATTAACAAAGGCACGAGGGGTTGGTTGCACTCGATTGGGAAACCGATTCGCATAAATCCGTAATGCCGCGGCAGCATTTTGTAAAGACTCCCCCCGTAAATAAGAATCATGTCCAGAAGTTCAGCATTTTCGTAAACATGTGCCATTTTTTATTTCGTTTGAGCCACGCAACAAACACCACTATTCACTCACGCGTTACCGACTGACACATTGACGGAATGCAACTGAATAAAATTGTAGTAAAAACATTCGCTTTTTTGTTTCCGATGCGATGAACCGATAAGGCGGATTATATCAGTTGTTGCCAAACACGAGCACATATTATTATTGAGACAGGGCGGTACTCAAACTTCTAAAGGGCTATAACTTTGTTACTTTAATTTTACCAGAAAAATGTTAAAGGAAAAAAACATTTCTTTTGATCAGATCTACTCACTGTTAAAATAAATGACTCAATTTCGAAGTCAGCCTGTATGTATGTACATATAAGTTATGTACCAATCTATAGAGAAGAATATGCTGAACCAAGACTTTTGCCTCCACGTTCCTTTCTTATCAGTTACAGTATTGTATTTCATTTGTTCTTTACTTTGGTTTGTATAATGAACTTTGCAGTCAGTCTCGATTCAGAACTCATTCAACTAACATCATTGTATTTGGTTATTCTCAAAAGTAAATCTTTTTAAAAACGTTTTCGTTGAAGAAAGATATTTGAGTGGCGCAGCAAGCAGTAGGATAGCCAGACGAAAAAAGGACATTTTCGGTTCGTTTCAACGGTTTGCTGGCTATAACGAAACCAACCGCGATTGGTCGCGAACGATCCGACGGAATATCGATATCGTTACCGTGATCACCGGAACCTGATTTGGGATAGAACCCTACCCAAATCGAGAAACCAAGAAGACAGCAGCCCAGAGGACAGAAGGAACATCTGCTCCAGGACAGGCGACCCAGCAGTGGCCCAGGCATACGGACACATGGGACGGATTGGATTACTACTGTAAGTATGAATGTCTTACAGGGGTGAAAACAATCAACAGCTGTTTGATGATACATTGAGTGACACTGATTCGGACTCACAGTCGGATACGGAACATATCCAACATAGTTTAAGGAATTTGCAATTAAAACCTAGTATACTAAATAGTACAGTCAATATGAACAACAGTCAAGCAAATCAATCAAGCATGTCATTACGCCCAGAGTATCTTAACATGATACCCGAATTTTATGGTCAACAAGAATTATTACCAAGATTCATAGATATTTGCGAAAAGTTAGTGAATAAATTTTATAGATTAGAGGATGATAATGACTTCCAGAACGAATATCTTATGAGTAGTATTTTAGCGAAAATCAAAGGTAATGCAGCTTTAAATATTAGTAGCAATATTATAAAAAATTGGACAGACTTGAAAACTGCACTTTTAAATACATATCAAGACAAGCGTGACGTATTTACTCTAAATATAGAAATGTGTGAATTGAAACAGAACAATGAAACCCCCTTTGAATTTTATAGCAAAGTTCAGAGTTTATTGAATTTACAAATATCATTTTTAACTACACATTGTGTGAGTGAAGAAGCTCAGATAATATGTAATTTTTGCAAAAGCGTAGCATTAAGAGTATTTATAAAAGGTTTAAAGGAACCTCTATTATCGCTCATGAGGACGAAAAATCCTACAGACTTGAATGAAGCTCTGAATATATTAACTAACGACTTTCAGCTTGATCATAAGGTAGCTAAACATAAAAATGTTAATCGAAATAATATACAATTAGTTCGCCATATGAACAACAGCTTTGGTAATTATAGGAATCAATACCAAGCGGTACAGCGTCCAGTATTACAAAGACAATTTAGTCCTAATAATGTACGACCAAATAATCCTAATCAGAATAGAACGAATTTTCACAATAATAACGTTTTTAGACCTAATCAGATCAACAATCTGCCAAGGCCTACTCCGATGAGTACATCCACTAGACAGACGTATCAGCAACCAAATTTTCAAGGTAGAAATTTTAACAGACCTGGTGTAAACGCAGAACAGGCTATGTTTAACTTGTGTGTACAAGACCAACCTGTTGTAGAATTTCCAAATGATGACAATTATGAATGCGCTTATTCTCAGAATAATTCTGACGATTTTTTATGGCAAGAAGCCTCGGTACAGAGACAACCACAAGTCCCAACGGACCACCAAAGTCAATTGAAATTATGAGTTTAACCGACAAATGTAGCAAACTACCATACATTGTATTTCCGGAGTATAATCTCAAAGTATTGATTGACACTGGAAGTACAAAATCTTTCATACACCCTGAAATTGCGAAAAAATTATTTTCAAGACATATTCAAAAAGACCCATTTCAAATCACTTCAGCACATGGTTCATCTATCGAACAATATAGTATGACAATACCTTGTCCAAAGATTTTTAAGAATCCAAATATTCTCATGAAATTTCATTTATTCAAGTTTCACGAACATTTCCAATGCCTTTTAGGACTCGATAACCTGAAAGATATATTGAATGCCAACGTTGATTTGAGCAATGATCTTTTAGTCACACCCACAACAAGGATACCCATGCAATATCACGAGATTACAAAAAAATCTTCTAATGTTATCACTGTTCCACCTAGAACAGAACAGATAATTAAAGTTAACAAAAAATTTAAAAAATGGTAATGCTATTATTCCATACAGAAAATTATCATGTTTAGAAATCTCTGAATGTCTTACTACAGTGAAAAATCACGAAGCGATTTGCACAGTATTAAATTTATCTGAAGAACAGATTTCTCTTGACATATCTCGACCAATAGATGTAGAAAATTTTGTAAATTACGAATTTTCAGAAAATTCTGATCCACCGAATATTAATTCTTTGAACTTTCAAAAATATAAATTTGATATTTCCAAAATTAGGACAGAGCATATGAACTCTGAAGAAAAAGACGCAATCACCAAGTTAGTAAGCGAGTATTCAGACATATTTTACATAGATGGTAATTACTTAACTTTTACGAGCAAAATTAAGCATCATATACGTACAAGCGATGAAATCCCCATTTACACTAAATCATACAGATATCCTGAAATCCACCAAAAAGAGGTACAAAGACAAATACAATCAATGCTTGATCAAAACATTATTAGAGAGAGCCATTCAGCGTGGTGCTCACCTATATGGATTGTTCCAAAAAAATTAGACGCATCGGGAAAGCAAAAATGGAGAATAGTCATCGACTATAGAAAATTGAATGAAAGATCGTTATCCTCTTCCAAACATAACAGATTTGTTAGATAAATTAGGGCGATGCCAATATTTTTCAACATTAGACTTAGCTTCAGGTTTTCACCAAATAGAAATGGCAGAAGAAGATATCGAAAAAACTGCATTCAATACAGAAAATGGACACTACGAGTTTACAAGAATGCCATTTGGACTAAATACGCGCCAGCGACTTTCCAGCGAGTAATGGATAACGTACTCAGAGGCATTCAAAATGAAAAATGCTTAGTATATTTAGATGACATTATAATATTTAGTACTAGTTTACAGGAACACATTTCTCGACTTAGAGAAGTTTTTGAAAGGTTACGTCAGTCAAATTTTAAAATACAGTTAGACAAATCGGAATTTCTTAGAAAAGAAGTATCGTATTTAGGACATGTTGTGACGGTGGATGGTGTGAAACCAAACCCCGATAAGATAAAGGCAATCACAGAATTTAAAATACCAAAAACTAAGAAGCAAATTAAAGGCTTTCTTGGACTTTTAGGTTATTACCGTAAGTTTATAAAAGATTTTGCGAAAATCACTAAGCCATTGACAATCAGATTGAAAAAAGATGCAATTATTAATCCCAATGACGCAGATTATATTAAATGTTTCGAATTATGCAAGACTTTATTAACAAACGATCCGATACTCCAATATCCGGATTTTTCCTAACCATTCTTGATAACTACGGATGCAAGTAATTATGCAATCGGCGCAATATTATCCCAAGGTAATTTAGGCTCAGATTTACCAATAGCGTACGCCTCACGAACATTAAGTGATTTAGAAACAAAGTATAGCACGACAGAAAAAGAACTAAGTATCGTATATGCAGTAAAATATTTCAGACCTTATATTTTCGGACGTAAGTTTACTATTGTAGCAGATCACAAAAGCCTCCAATGGTTATTTTCAGTTAGAGATGCTAGTTCAAAATTATTAAGATGGCGCTTAAGGTTAGAAGAACATGATTTTGACATTGTTTACAGGAAAGGCAAATCAAACACAAATGCGGACTTTCTATCTAGAATAGAAGTAAATGTTAATGAAACAGGAGCACCGACTCCACTGGCACAATACATGAAAGAATTTAATAGAAATCTTGAAAATCAAGCGGGTCCATCGAATATTTCCAATATTCCCAATCAGACCGATAACTATTCGATCGCACCTCAACCCAATGGTTTAGATAAAATTGATGAAAATGAAAATGATTCATCAGGACACACCGTTCATTCTAATATAGAAAATCCCACGATAAATATTCCAATTAGTGATACAGCAGTAAATTGTGCAAAAAAACAAATTATTATTTCCGAAGTAAACCTCGAACCAGCTGATCCAGTAATTAGTAGATTACATGTGAATAAACAGCGAATATCCGTTCAATTATCAAAGAACAATTTTGAAGCTGATACAATTAAATCTGTAAAAGAATTTATTGCACCAAAGGCA